ATGGCCGCCCAGGGAGGCCGGGCGGGGACATGTGTGAGAACTGCCGGGTGGGCAAGTTGCAGGTGGCCCAAGACTCCCTTTCGGGCCGGGCGGCCCCACCCAGCCGCCCAGTATCCTCCTTGTACCCCACGGCTCCTTCACAGCTGCACCGGCTGACCCCTGTCCCTACCTCTGTTCCCTTAGCCTGCTGGCCCCCAGCCATGCCACCCCATTCCCTGTCCCATTAGCTGCAGCAACAGCGTCACCATGGCTTGTCCCCACCAGTGTCCTTCCCTCCCCTGGTCAGGGTCTAGGGGGTCAGGGCTGTTCTTCCTGAGCCAGCTTCTGTGATTCCAGCTACTCCCTTCCTGTCCTGGGACAGACCAGCCCCTCACCCTCCCATGCTCTGCCCAGGAAGGCTGGTGAGGGGGAGGCCCAGTGTGACAGGAGTTTGGGGCCCACTGGGGTCACAGGAGGGGGCTTAGCATCCCTTATTCCTCTTCGTGGTTCTCCTCCCTGTTGTCCGTGGGCGTGGGCTGCTCAGCCTCTCCTCACAGGGTGTGGGCACCCGATCACCCACATTCCTGGGCTCCAGCCTGGCACCTTCCCCAGGGCAGTGGACGCCATAGCACTAGCCCCAGGCTGGGGCTGGCACTGGCCAGCCGGCTTCCTTTTGCTCTTCTTTCTCCCTTTCAGGGAGGCCCCAGGGACCTTCTACCCTCAAACACAGGTATTTCTGGGCACCCCAAGGGTGGAGCCCTGAGGGTTGGTCTGATGGCTACAGGATGACCCCACCCTCCCCTGCCCATTGTCCTGGATCCTGAGGAGGAAGTGCTGGGGGCTGGGCAAGGGGCTTAAAGCCCACACAGCTGGCCCTGTGGATCCCAGTCCTGGGCCCTATCTACAGTCCTTGGACTTTGCCCATCCGCACTACCGGCCTGGCGTGTGGAGGTTGTGGGCCTTAGGTGGGAACTGGATTCTCCCTTGCCGACCCTGTGGGGAATTTCAGGACAGGTTTTGCATTTGCAGTTTCTTCTGATCTCTCTTCTGGGCTCCCAGTTTGTGCTTTGGCCCCGGAGTTCCTGCCTCTTTAACAGCTTGTGTTTGCTGTGCTGTGTCTCTTTCTCCTTTCCTCTCCCATTTTTTCCTTCATAGCATGACCTCAGGCTTGCCTTTTGTCTTATTTCTCTCATTTTCTTGGTGTCTGTGACTCTCTACCCCTCGTCTCTCTCTTCCCGCCACCCTCACGTCTCTGCCCATGTGCCCCTCTCTCTGAATTGCCCTCTGTCCAGCCTCTTTCTCTCTCTCTCCTCTATCTGAACGTTCAGTACACTTGCGAGTGATGAGGAGTAAAAATATCGCCGTCCTTGCCCTTGGATTCACATTGCATTCTGCCACTCCAGAGGGGCAGCTGTCCATACTTTTTCTACTATTCCCCCCTAACCGTGGCCCTCTAACCTGGGAACCCCAGACAGGTCTCTGGAGCCACAGGTGCCTCCTAACAACTCTTCCCCCACAACCAGGGTATCTCCCAGAGCCCCAGCTGGTGTGGCCAGGTCCCAGTAGTAGGATGGGGCTCCCCCTACGAGGGCCAGTGGCAGCGAGAACTGATACAGCCCCCCTGGTCTGGGGCCAGGACACCAGGTAACTCTGGGGGAGACCGCCCAGGTTCCTGCAAGGTGGAATATGGCTGGGGAGAGAGGCAGAAATACCTTTGGGAGTCTCTCAAGACTGACATTTGGGAGGAAAGCCAGGGGAATAAGAGCTGGGTCCTTGAGAGGCTGGGTGGCTCTGGGGGAGATGTGAAGAGACTGGTTCTGGGAAGAAGCTGGGAGGCAATGTCTGGGTCCCCCCAGTGGCTCTGACCCCACCACTCCTTTCTCTGTCCTCCAGCTGAGGAGGGCAGGAGTGTCTGAAGCCATGGCTGGTGCCTCGGTGAAAGTAGCAGTGAGGGTTCGGCCCTTTAACGCCCGTGAGACCAGCCAGGATGCCAAGTGTGTGGTCAGCATGCAGGGCAACACCACCTGTGAGTGAGTCCCCGGGGCCTGGCTGGGCACAGACAGGGAAGGCCGGGCCCACCACACAGGCCAGTCCCGCTGGGCCAAACTAAGAGGAGGTCTGTGCCGGGCGCAGAGCAGGTGCTAGTTGTGAGGGCGGGGGCTGGGGCAGGCTGGCCTTTCCCGTGTTCCCAGTCTTCTGGGAGGGGGAATGTTGGCCTGGAGCCCTCCATTGCCCAATCCAGGGAGGCAGCCCAGTGGGGGCGGGTCCTAGGAAGCCAAAATTAGCTTTGGTGGCTGGAGGGGGTGGGGAGTATTAAAGGGGAGAGATGAGTCAGGGCGGTGGTGAGGAGGGGGATGCTTGGATTCCAGGGGCTGGTGGGGGTATGGGCAGGGGCTGGGAGTACCTGACCTTGACTTTCCTTCCTTTACCCTCTCCTGCCCCTCAGCCATCATCAATCCTAAACAGAGCAAGGATGCCCCCAAAAGCTTCACCTTTGACTACTCCTACTGGTCACACACTTCGGTGGGTTGTTGGGCTGGGGGAAGAGCAGGGCAGTGAGAGACAGTGGATTTAGGTCCTGGGGAGGGGACATTTTGAGAAATAGGACTCCCAGGAGGATGATCCTGGATGGGGGTGGTAGGACCCTTAGGCTGTGATTGAGGCCATGACAAGAAGGCAGAATCCCTTGGGGTAATTAGGACTAGCAGGGGCTGGATAGGATCCTCGGGGTGATGAGGACAATGATGAGGGTGGGAGGGCACATAGGACCTTTGGAGAATCATCAGTGATGCAAGCAAGACTCTTGGGACAGACACAAAAGATAAAGACATCCAGGGTTCCTTCTGTTTTTCTCTGCCCCCGCTTTGTCCTAGGCGGAGGACCCCCAGTTTGCATCTCAGCAGCAAGTGTATCGGGACATTGGAGAAGAGATGCTGCTCCACGCCTTTGAAGGCTACAACGTGTGCATCTTTGCCTATGGGCAGACCGGGGCTGGGAAATCCTATACCATGATGGGGCGGCAGGAGCCAGGGCAGCAGGGCATCGTGCCCCAGGTACACCTAGGACCTGGTGGGGCAGCCAGGGCAGGAACATCTTTAGCCGCCCCCTGAGGAAGGAAGGACCGGGATCTGAGGATTGTGGAACAGAGACCTGGCTCTGAGGCCACTGGTGATGGGAGAGAGAGGTTGACTCAAGCTGGACAACCCTTTGGGGTGGGAGGGTCTTTGTCCCTATTGGAGGCAATGAGCCTCATTGAGAAGAGCAAGGTTTTGGCATCAGTGAGTCTTGGGTTCGAGCGCCAGTGTTACCACTTATTACTGTTTTACTTAGTTTCATAATAATTTATGAGGATGGTTCTCCTGCAGGCTTGTGTACCATCGCAGAGTGTTAACTGTAGAAACGCCAATTGCGATAACAGAGTTAACCATAATTGTCCCTGGCTGTCCAGCACAGCAACCTGGCACACAGGCTTGGGAGTCAGGACGCCTGGGGTTTGCGCCCTGGCTGGCTGAACGCTAGCCTGTGTTCTTGGGCAAGTGGGAACCTCTCTGAGGTTGTTTTCCCATCTGTGAAATGGGAATAACCCCTCCCTCAGGGCTGCGGCAAGGGTTAAATGGGGTCACTTGGGACTGGGCCTGGCCTGTGGCTGGATACTTTAGGTGTGCCCTAAACTAGGAGCTTCTCTGTATTTCCCTGTGTCCCCCTCCAGCTCTGTGAGGACCTCTTCTCTCGCGTTAGTGAGAACCAGAGTGCTCAGCTATCCTACTCTGTGGAGGTAAGCCGGGGTCCTGGTGGCGGGGCTGAGAGCGGTCCAGACTGCTGAGGGCCATTGCTGAAATCAGACAGCCTGGGATCTAATCCTGGCTCTGCTGGTTACAAACTGTGACTTTGGGGCAGTGATTCTGTCCTTCAGCTTTGTATGTTCATCTGGGAGATGCTAATGATCGGACGCACCTCCTGGCTTGTTGGACAGGTCGCTGAGCTAGCATCTGCAGAATGCTTTGCGCTGTGTATTAGCTGCAGTCACCTGGATCGTGTCCAGTGGAGTCAGATTAAGTTTCGTTGTCATTGTTGTTGCTGGTTTTGTTGCTTCTCATTTGCTTCTCCCACTCAGGTGAGCTATATGGAGATCTACTGTGAGCGGGTACGAGACCTCTTGAACCCCAAGAGTCGGGGTTCTCTGCGGGTCCGGGAGCATCCCATCCTGGGCCCCTACGTGCAGGACCTGTCCAAGTTGGCTGTGACCTCCTATGCAGACATTGCTGACCTCATGGACTGTGGAAATAAAGCACGGTGAGGCAGGCTGATGGAGCAGAGGGCAAGGGGGCCAGGGTTGGGAAGGTGAGAGGCAGGATCCAGTGACTGCTTCCTTTGCCCCCAAGGACTGTGGCTGCCACCAACATGAATGAGACCAGCAGCCGATCCCATGCCGTCTTTACCATCGTCTTCACACAGCGCTGCCATGACCAGCTCACTGGGCTGGACTCGGAGAAGGTGAGACTGCTTCCCGGCCCTGCACTGGCACAGGCACAACCTCCCCTGGCAACAGGGACAGTGACATGGTAGAAGGTCTTGGGCCCTCCTTGCCCATGCTGGGTTGAGTGCCTCCTCAGGCCTTCCATGACCCTGCCCCACCCCGACCCCATTTTCCCATCAGATCAATCTGTCCCCCTCT